TAAAGATGAAAAATTCACAGTATGGGCTGGTTACAGAAGCAGAAATTTTCAGCAGTCTGCTTAACTTTGCTTATGTGCGCAGATCCCTCAACAGGAACATTACTTTCCTTCACTCATAACCCCACTTTAAGAAATGAGTAAACAATGATGACTAAGAAGCTTTGGCTAGAAATGCCTGATTTTGTTTCCTTTTTCTAAAACTCAGAAGAGATTCATATAATGACCCTAAACCATCATGCTGCTTCCTCGCCTTTGCTTCGCTTTACCTCCCATCTAGCACTCGGCAAGGGGTCATCTCTGTCCTGCATATCCCAGCTTGCAGAGTTCTCTACTGTGTGTGAAGGAGTTGAGCAACAACAATGTATCAGTGCTAAAAAATGCTAAATGCAGAGACAGAGAGAAAACGATCTCTTTGTTAACACATTAGAAATTCAGGAGGATTGAGTTCAGTTCCCAGCTGTGCCAGTGGCTCCCCATATAACATTTCAGTCCTCACTTCCCATATGGAGCTTCACCGCTTACACAAGCTTAAATCTTAGTCTTTGACTCTGAATCCTAGGTTTTAGATCTGATACTCATGCATAACTCATATCAGTCTGATCAGTTATTGTATATGAAATTCAGGTCAAAATGAAGACACTGAAGTATAGGCATCTGAACTCCCACTAGAGGCAAAAACTCAAGATCCAGAAACAAAAAGACTGACTCAGCTCGTTCTGAAGTGCCCATCTACTGGCTGGTCCCTCTCAGCTCTCCAAATCCCACTGACTGCACCAGCACTGATGTCCACTAAGGACAACGGAGAACTCAATTTTCTAGCCATTGCAGCCTTGCACTGTATCCTTTCCTCAGATTCATTCAGTCATGACCATGCTGATGCTGTGACAACACGAAGCCACACATCATATCAAACCTGCAAACATACCACAACCTTGCACCAACCATGTTTTCACAGAAAGCTTAACCAACTCAAACAACTTGTCCTAGCAAACTTACAAGACACTAATACTCACCGACAGGACTCTACTGATGGGACTCTACCGTGGAAATATTGCCTCTGGCACTGTGGTGCTACAGAACACAGGAAAATTTTTTTACCGCAGATAAAGGAGTGGTTTGGGATGTGAAGATGCTATGATACATTAAATCTGGACTATCATAATGGATACATTAAATCAGAATTTCTGATGCAACACAGCAACTTCATATTATTCTTATTAGATATTACTAGACATTGAGAAGTTTTTACATCACGATAAGAGGAGTAACAGAAAATACTTTTTCACTAAACTATCATTGCATCAGATATGATGGTTTACATGAACATCCCACGGATTACCCAGAAGAACTTGGCTGGATTTGCAATGTTTTGCCACACATCCCTGTGGTAACATTGTTTTAACACGAGATTACATGGCATATAGCCATGAATCCAAAAGTCTGAACAATGCATTTAGTATGAACTGCTTCAACTAGTACAAAACACTGTCGTAGGTATTTTGTATCGGCACAAATGCTGTACCACACTACCACATCTCATTTACTGTTTGCCACTGTTTATAAAAAGGTGGCTGCTTCCTTCCATAAAATAACTAACAGTAATAGAATTAGGCAAATATTTACAACAGTAATCCAGTGTGAAACACTGCCTTTAAAAGAAAGCTAATTTTTTTTGGACAGTGCCTTTCTTCCTTTATTTAGCTCTTTGCTTTGTCAATATGCAGAACAAAATAAGTCTGTCAGGAAACTGCATTTGTTATCAGCTCATTCTCCTTAGACGGCAGGACTGTAAATATTTTTCTTCATTATCACCCTGACAGTAAATAACTTTGCAGGTGTGATTTAATCAACAGGAATGCCAAGATTTCACAATTTTTGGCCTACCTTAAAGAAAACAAGTAATAGAGAAACCCATGTACCAGGAAACAAATGAGCAGAACTAGTGAACTAAGGTCTATCAAGCAGGGTTCAAGATCACTTGGGTTGGATGACAGTTGATATATTTGCACTACAGTTCATCTGTTTTCTTATCTGGGAAAGTGTTCTATAATAAATCATAATTTATTGCATGTTTTGCAATCTTGTCAAAGGGCACACCTAAGATTTTTGCTTCAGTAATAAATTCCACCCAACTGTGTACAGGAATTCACTTGACAATCTGGACATAGCTAAAATATTTTGGTATTTTCTAACTTCAGCACTTATTATCTAGCACCAACAACTCAACTGGTTTACATAACACCACATTTACTTTCTTCTAAATTTAATTATGCTTAAAAACTAACAGGAGATTTCAAAGTAATTCTCCAATGACAATCACCAGTGAGCAAAAAACCCCAAGGCTGTTGGACAAGGACCCCAATTCCCAACCCATAACTGCTTCTCATCCCCTCTTTTTGCTTGCCTTTTTCCCCTTTGGGAGTGTTTATCTCTGAATACGAACAAAGCAACAGAATGTTGTGATCAACCTCAGCAATATTTCTTGGTGTACACAGCTAAATTGCTCGTGAAGCTGATCATATGTTCCTGCCTATATCTGTAAAAAAGACAGCAGAAACAAAACTTTAGAACAGCCCTAAGCCTTCCATATTATTATATACAGCAACCAACTGGCAAACTCCAAGCCAATATTTATGAAGATGAATGGTTACTGCCAGGCTGCTTCAAATTTTTCCGAGAGTTTTGTTTTGTTTTTTTTTTTAATTAGTGATTAATCAAGAATAGGTAGAGAATAACCAAATCATTACAGCTTTAAGTTCAGCATTATAAGACTCATCATTTGCATGCAGCATCACATGTTAAAATTGCATCTCAGTAAGCCAGTAAGTGAAGGGCTTTCTAGGATTAGTGGTGGCATGCCTGTTTTCCTTTCTAAAACCACTGTTCAGGGTGAAAGGGAATTAATTTTATGATATAAGCAGAAAGTTTCCAAAAATAATTGCTGCTTTGCTATTAAGTTCACCGTCTTGATCTACTCTGAACATACCTGGACAGACACTTGAGATACATCTATTTATTTTCCTCGTATGAAACTCTTCTAAACACAATGAACGAACCACTGCCTTTAAAATACTTAAACCACCATATTTCTCTACTAACAAATGCTACAAGAAAACCTAAAATCCCAAGCAATATGACTTGAAGAGAATTGCTTACCATTGTGTTTATGCTACTGGCCAAAGAACCAGTGATGGTTAAAAAAATGTTTAGGAGCATTAGATTCAATTATTAACATTTTTCTATGAATTGTCTATGATGCTGTTGTTGTAAGCCTGACCTCAACTTGAAATATACTAAATATGCTTTAGTGCAAAGATGTGTTTTGTTCACGTGGTTTTTCTTGTCATTATTTTTTCTTTTCTGTTTAACACTGTTTCCTACTCATAGTAGCAAAGTAACTGAAATTAACCTGGCTGCATTACAAATAAATCTTACCCACATACCACTTCATTAAAAATCTGCACATGTACAATTATAGTTGGAGTAACCATTTAATATGTATGAACCGCTAAGACTGAAAAACACTTATTTCTCTAACCTTGCTTTCACAGACAACTGTCTGAAACACACACTTCAAAACTGAAAATATCAGTATTCACTGTCTTTCAGTGTTTCAGGCTGGAAAACTTGAAAGAAAATCCCTTCTAGGTTTTTAACTTAATGACCTAAGTTTTGAAGGGGAAAGAACTCTTTCCATTAGCCATATTATTTTGAGAGTCTCCACAACTCTCAAGGTCGTGAAGTCCTTCTAAGGATTTATATTCAGCTTTGTATAATATTAGAAGTTGTGCGTCAGCAGTGAAGCCATGTATCCTTATCACCTATAGATTTTTGGCAGACACAAGAAAACTTCTTTTATTACAGATTCTTGTGTCCTATTCTTTGACCACTTGCAGCTCAGTAAACTCTGTTCTGCCCCTGGTTTCCCACAGGTTTGAATCAAAGTGCATTCAGGTCTCCTTCTTCCTCCCTGTGCCTCAAGCCTTTCCACACAGTACCTTGAATTCCCTTCTGTACTTCCTGTTCAATACCCCCAAGTCACTCAGACATTCGCTGCTAGCTGGGCAGAGCATCCTAGGCTTTTGCTAGACAACACGCTCCCCTGGTCAGTATGTGCAGACTGCAGCAAACAATGATTAAAGTTGGGATTTCCCCTTCTTTCCCTCAGCAGATGTACTAACAGAGTATTTGTTCTCTGAGTGACAATCCTCTCCGAAACTTGGAGAACTTAACATTTCTAAAGCAAAAAATTCTTGGGAAAGCTGTAAAAGCCAAATTTTTTGAGAAAAAAACATATTTAAAAAAGTTAGTGTAACATGGAAATTACAGAAGATGATACAGAGACAGATAAAAGAAGCTTAGGGAATAGGGCAGAGCTAATGAGGCCAGAAAACCAGGGGGAAAGGAAGACAACCACCTATGCATTTTTTATTTGTGTGCTGGTCCTATCTTCTCCTCAGAAAGCATGTTTTTAAAAGTACTTTTTTAAAAATGTGCATATAATTTTGATTTTTTCTTAACTAGGTTTTGTACAAACCAGAGGAGATTTGAAACCAGAAACCTAGAGCTGAGCTCAATGCTTCATTACACTCACTCAAGTCACTCCCATCACTGCCTCTTCTAAGAAAAAAGGTCACAGAGTACTTACTGGTGAAGTGGATAGACAGATAACGGGGCCAGCAATGGTATGAACACTATTATATTACAGTCCTACTATTTTCTGTGGCATGTAAGTAATTGAGTAACTACATACTGATCAGACATGCAAATTATGCAGAGACATAATGTCACCGCCAAGTCACCAGATTTCTAAATCATCAGCCTCACTTCACTGGTGTAAAGAGTGGTGGTGCCTGTAAGAATCCATATGCACAACATTTATAAACTGGCTTCTGCTGATTTATGTCAGATAAAGGATCTTATCTCAGTAATTTGCAAATTACATCTTTAAGGGCAAGTTTCTTTTCCTTCACAAATAAAATGATGAGAAAACAACTTACGTTCCACTTGATCAAACATTACTGAGAACAAGAAATCTCTTGGTGTCATGTAACATTCTCCTTCATATTCCACTGATGCAAAATGCATGAAACGATGCTTCCGAAGAGACAGTCTTTCGTCCCTTTCCGCATTAATGACATCTTCCTTCTGAAACAGAAAAAAAATCCATACAGAAAGATGCTTGCATTTGTAGGCCAACTCTGTAATTAGAAAGAATGCTATATCCGATCTTGATTAACCTCAATATTTTGTGGGTAACCACAACAAGAGACTACCAGGAATTAAAGCTTTTATGGCACAGTCTTAGTGAATGACATGCTTATATGACATTCAAAGTATTTTTTGGCTTCACTGAGAGCATGCCTTAACAACACAGCTGAGCCAAATTAATGGCTTGCTGTCACCAAAGGCTGCCCTTGCTTCCCACTCCCCTGCTCTTGGCCATAGGGTCCTGCACCTCCTCCTTTGCTAGCTCTGCTATTTATTGGACTCCTGCTGAGCCAAATTCAGCTCACTAACTCAACAAAAAACTAAACTGACCAAACAGCAAATAGTATTTTGCCAGGTTAGTGACTGGCTCAGCAAAGGTTGAAATGTGCTCTGCCTCCATGCAAATGATCCACTCCTGAAGTTAATTACCAAGTTGCGGAGCAACTCCTAAGATGGGAGAATAATGATATTCTAGTTTAAATATGGGCCTATCTTTCAGAGAAATTAGAAAAACGGGAAAAGCAATGAAAACACCAACAAAGAGTCAGAGATCCTATCGCCAAACCCAAAGATTCAACTAGTCAAGCAAACAAAAAACTTCCAAATCTCCCCCCCCGCCCCTTAAATATTGAAAGACTCATGATCGAAATCATACAAGTTGACAACACTGGCAAGTAGTAACAGCACTTACTGGCAGCAAGAAAGGACACAGACACAGTGAAAGAGAGACATTTACATTTTTGGATTTCAGAGATAGTGACAGCAGGAAAACGAGACACTTGAAAATTCAGAACACACTGTGTGTATTTGAACATTAATCATGGAACAATTTTACCACCAGCAGCATCACTCAATTTTAGGACTGTTCAAAGGTGTGAGAGTGAAGGAAAAGCAAGAAAATGCAAGGCTAAGTACCAAGATCCCAAACTGCACATACTTGAAACAAGTCAGTAAACAGCAAGATGGATCTGCAGCTAGCTCAGTGCCCGTGGTATTACTCGGTGTGCGATGCAGATGAGCGTATACAGCCTAGGGCATGGCCTACCAAGGTGCTGCATCACATCTTCCAGCAAACGATCGCTATTCGTTTATGCAGTTTTCAGTTTCTGGATCATTCCTATGGACTGCTTGGCATTTGAGCAGTTCAGTACAGCGCTGCTGTATGCTGCATTTTGCAAACTCAGTTATTCCTGAGACAGGGCAGTGTAAGCAGCTCCTGATTACACTCAGACCAGCTGCAGGTGCAGCCAGGCTCTCACCAGTTGATGTTAGAACACAGGGTCTGCTGTGCTGAGTGTGTTCATGGGGCGAACTGTGGGATGCAGACAGGCAGACAGTATGTGAATGGAGGAGGGTGGAGACCAGTGGGAACACCTCACCTGGTTTTGCTGAAGTCAGCACTGGTTATAGCGACATGCAAGGTAATAGGCACCCAGCTGCATGGGAGGTTGTTATGAAAATTGGGAACATGCACAGATATTTGCAAATAGCGTAGCAGGTAGCAAGAAGGAAGTCTTAAAGGCTGTCCCTATACGCGGTAAGAAGAACGGGCGGGGAAGACGACCAGCCTGGCTGAACGGGGAGCTCTTACTGGGACTCAGGAAAAAAAGGAGAGTTTACCCATTTGTGGAAGAAGGGGCAGGCAACTCAAGAAGAGTACAGGGATCTCTTTAGGTCACGCAGAGAGGAAATGAGAAAGGCAAAAGCCCAGCTAGAACGCAATCTGGCCGCTGTCGTGAAAGACAACAAAAAATGTTTTTACAAATACATTAATGACAAAGAGAGCCAAGGAGAATCTCCATCCCTTATTGGATGCAGGGGGGAACATTGTCACCGAGGATGAGGAAAAGGCTGAGGTCCTCAATGCCTTCTTTGCCTCAGTCTTTAACAGGCAGACCAGTTATCCTCAGGGTACTCAGTCCCCTGAGCTGGAAGACAGGGACAGCGAGCAGGATGAACCCC